TATATATATATATATATATATATATTTGTTATATCATGAACACTATCACCACAAGCCACCCCTGACCCCATAGCCAAGATATCCGTATATCGAAACAAGCCCCCCCCCCCACCACCCCCACCCCAGTCAAACATGAATTCACGTCCTCTGAATCAATCGGGCATTTTTAAAAAAAATCCAATGAGAGATAACCAGAAGGGTTTAAATCCAATAAAAGATAACCAAAAGGGTTTAAATCCAATGGGAGATAACCACAAGGGTTTAATTTAAACAAAATGATATGATGTGAAGACGCAATTACAAGGAAATATTTTGTTTAACATTGCTTTGAAAAGTCAGATTTTAAGAGACAAACGTTAGGTGGTCGGGGGGAGGGGGCTGGGACGTCATTTGGGTAGGGTAGGGTGGGGTATTTGTCCCCCTCCCCCGAATTTGAAGGTTTTATTTAAATTGGTATATACATTGGCGCCTCCTGCAATAAAAAAAACTTAACAAGCCGACCAAGTTTTGGTTTTCCCCCCCCCCCCCCAAACCTTGAAAAAAACACTGAAATGACCCCTGGGGGGGGGGGATCTGCGGGAAAATCAGGTGTGTGTGTGGGGGGGGGGGCTTCTTCGCGATGTGCCCCGTTCCTTGGGCTCAGTCACTGCCGGGAAAGTAAAATCAGAGTTCACAAGCGCCGGTTCTGCTTGCCTTAGGACATTTTCTTAAACAGTTTAGCGGAAGGTATTAAATGATCGTACGAGTATCAAAACAAGGACAGACCACCCTTGTTAGTTCATGAGGTAACAGCGGATTGGTCAACTGGGATGACCTCAGGCAGACGCATACGCAATGACACGATAGGAGAGATAAGAGTGTTGCCGGAGGGACATAACCGAGAAATAACTTTGCTATCGCCGATCCATGGCAGGGGCAAAAAGGTGAAATGCCAAACGGGTTTTCTCTCTTAAAACAGATAAAAGCGAGTAACGGGTATGAGTACGACTAAAAAAAAAATATTTTTTTTGTTCTTCCTGGTCAAACAAAATGTTTAGTGTACGTTAGTCTACAAGGTCACTAATTTTTTAAGTCATGTTTGTTTTTTTTTTCAAATATTTGGGGCGTACACCAAGTTTTGGAGCTCCACTTCAGTTGAGAGAAAGGAACAGGATTTCATTGGAGGAGGGCAGTGGAAGAAGAGGGGAACAGAGAGTAAAAATGCGAGGGGAGAGCACTGAGAGAGGGAGTGGCAAAGAGAAATGTCATAAAGTGAGGTGGGTAGATTGAGAGAAATTGGGCGAGAGGAAGGGAAATGACTGAACGAGGAGAAGCAAAGAGAATGGAGTGTAGAGAGTGAGTGAGTGTGTAAGAATTCAAATAGGTTTTTTTTATTTATAAAAAAAATTAAAAATAAATTAAGCTATCGTTTTATTGTTTCGGTAACCTGAAATTTGATCGAAAGAAATTAGGTCGAATTTTTTTTTTCAGTTCACACGTTAGAATGTTCGTCAAACTTCTTTTTGAACGTATTATTTTGTTTGACTCTATAGTATGGTGCGTTCAACAAAAAATTGGAAGCAAAATTTAAAGTGTGAACTGAAAAAAAGATTCGACCAAATTTCCGTTCGAACAAATTTCAGTCGATCAATTTTCCGTGAACGAAATTTCTTTCGATCGAAATTTCCGAATACGAACGGTTTCAGGTTTGATATCCTATTTCCAACCTTGTTGCTCTGACAGGCTTTAGTGACATTGCTGCTCTGACCAGCTATAGTGACATTGCTGCTCTGACCAGCTGTAGTGACATTGTAGCTCTGACCATCTATAGTGACAGTGCTGCTCTGACCAGCTATAGTGACATTGCTGCTCTGACCAGCTATAGTGACATTGCTGCTCTGACCAGCTATAGTGACATTGCTGCTCTGACCAGCTATAGTAACGTTGCTGCTCTGACCAGCTATAGTGAAATTGCTGCTCTGATCAGCTATAGTGACATTGTGACTCTGGCCAGCTATAGTGACATTGCCCCAGTATGATATCCCATTCCAACCTTGTTGCTCTGACATGCTATAGTGACATTGCCCCAGTATGATATCCCATTCCAACCTTGTTGCTCTGACATGCTATAGTGACATTGCCCAGCTTGGCAGGTTTTCCCATGTTTGTGTTCTTTAGTTGTGCGCGATAAACATTGGAAGACAAGCATTCGGTACAGCTCTCACCGAGTCCCCTCCCATCTTCGGTGATTCCATCGGGTTTAGCTTTCTGACCTTTAGCCCGACTGCACAGCGGTTCTGTTTCCACTCGTGCATGGCGGCATCTGAGGTTTAACATTTCTATTCCTAATGCCAGTTAAACTTAGAGGGGGTGTGACGTAATATAAATACTCCATTCTTACCGTATACGAAGGTGGCGTAATTGGTATCTCTTGAGGGTGGTGGTGGACAGAGGTGGTGTTTGAACTTTGAAATGTTACTATAAAGCAATTTGTATCGCACCCATTATTTAAACAGCATTAATAATTTAATAAATATTTAACTTAATTAAACAAGTTTAAAAGATTTAGAGGAAAAAAAATTTTTTTTTCGGAAAGTTCCCATTAAATGCAATTATGATTTTAAAGCTTGGAACTTGATGCCTTGGTTAGTGCAATCTGTCTCTTTAACTTTAACTGTCTTTAGTGTCAGTGCATGGCTGTTATAAATTGACTGAAATTGAAAAGAGAGGGGGGGGGAGGGGTTACGCCAAAAACACAAAAGAAACACCCTACCTCCCCAAACCATACATCTTCAGCCCCCCCCCCCACACTTTTTTTCCCCCCACCAAATAAAGCAACAACAAACAAGCTGTTATTTCTGAAAGATATGAGAAGAGGGGAGATAAACCTTGGACAAAAGAAACTTCGTTTCAAGCACATAAGCTAATGGTCACCCCCACTCCGCTCCCCTTAAATGCCACCCCCCCCCCACAAAAACCTGTCCTTTTCTAATTCTGAATTCTACAGCGGCATATTCTTCAAATATCTGCCTTGCTAACAGCGATCCCGTTTCTAGATGAGCTTCTTTGATATGATTACAGATGGAGGCAAGGAGGGGAATTTCACGCAATTCTTAAAATGAGCTAATCACTTGTTCTGGCTTAATCTGAGCAACAGTCAGCTGATCACGACAGCAGATTAACTGCTCTGAATTCTTGGTGGTTGACAGCGACCAGGGAAGGGAGGGAGGGTGGTGGATTAAAAACCCCCGAAAGGATGTCTGTCTATTTTCTTATCACTGCTGTCGGCACATTTGTGTGACCTCTGGTCTCGCCCCCCCCCCCTCCCCGGGAGAGGGCTGGTGAAAGTTATAGGGGGGGTGGGGGGGGGTTTACTGTGGAAAGGTTTCAGAGAATCCATCTCGGTTATTTCAAAGTCGAGTGGATGTGAAGTGAGCACGGAAAGACAGCGGACAAGACATCCTAGAATTACTTTTTTTTTTTTTTTTTTTAAACTCTTTGGGGGGGCCCCCTCTTTTTTCTTCTTTCATTGTTACTAAACAAAGAAGAAAAAATCTTTAAATATATTTTTCCTTTAAAAAATTATAAAGAAATGAATTACTTTTTTTTTTTTTTTTTTTAAACTCTTGAGTGGTGCCCCTTCCTTTTGCTACTTCAATGGTTACTAAACAAAGAAGAATAAATCTTTAAATAGATTTTTCCTTTAAAAGATTATAAAGAAATCTATCATCCACAAACATTCGCTTCTGAGGAAAATTCATTATTATTGTTGTGCCTGGCCCTGAGATAACATTTCTTTGACTCTCGAACTCTCCAGTAAGAAATGCGGTGCACTGAAGTGCATAAAAATAATGTCCACCTCCATCATATGTCTGCCGGGCATCTCTCTCATTGATTTATTTGCCATATCGTGTTCATGGCTGATGCTCAACAACAGCACATTAGAGGAGATGAATAGTTTCTTTAACATTCAGAAATTATTTTCTTTAGCCTTCAGTAATTGACTATTCTTAATTGTGACCTCTTGTCTCAAGAGCAATCGGACGGGGAGGGTGGGGGGTGTATGTCACTATGTTTTTTAAGATCCAATCCACACACAATATATGTACATATTTGTTAGCTGTATAATTCTAAAAAAAATAGATCAGGCGGTGACGTTAACTACCATCATGAACAGCCCCTGCATGTTTTCTACCATCATGAATAGCCCCTGCATGTTATCTACCATCATGAACAGCCCCTGCATGTTATCTACCATCAAGAACAGCCCCTGCATGTTATCTACCATCATGAACAGCCCCTGCATGTTATCTACCATCATGAACAGCCCCTGCATGTTATCTACCATCATGAACAGACTTGCATGTTATCTACCATCAAGAACAGCCCCTGCATGTTATCTACCATCATGAACAGCCCCTGCATGTTATCTACCATCATGTACAGACTTGCATGTTATCTACCATCAAGAACAGCCCTTGCATGTTATCTACCATCATAAACAGCCCCTGCATGTTACCTGCCGTCAAGAACAGCCCCTACATGTTATCTACCATCAAGAACAGCCCCTGCATGTTATCTACCATCATGTACAGACTTGCATGTTATCTACCATCAAGAACAGCCCTTGCATGTTATCTACCATCAAGAACAGCCCCTGCATGTTATCTACCATCAAGAACAGCCCCTGCATGTTATCTACCATCATGAACAGCCCCTGCATGAACAGCCCCTGCATGTTCTCTACCATCATGACTAGCCCCTACATATATTATCTACCATCATGCCCCCCTGCATGTTATCTTCCATCAAGAACAGCCCCTGCATGCCTTGCCATTTACAATAATGGATATGCTGTGTTTCTCCTTGAATACCACAGATGAAATATCTTCAATTCTTTTTGCTTGTTTAAAGTGACACAACATCAAAAAATAGAAATGAGTTCATCCCAAAAAACTACAAAATATAACAGATCAACAGCTTTAACAACCATTAGCTTCTTTTCATTCAACTTTAATCTCAAAATATGAACTGTCAATGTTTGACTCTGTCCAATTGTCCACACTGTTCTCTCAGTTTGTCACCAATAATTTTAACAACATCCGGATGTAGCACACTGACCAGCAAACTCTCTGCCATCTCCTCGTGGCTAAACGGCAGCACATCATGAAAGTGTGACCCCTCCCCTTCACTCGGTCTTTCATCAACACAAGGCACGGTGGAGTCACCACAGTCATACAGTAAATGTCCGTCACCCTCAAGCGGGCTATTTCCTACTTCAGTGGGTGATTCTGAATCCACACTGCCAATTTTATGATGGTGTTCCTTCCTTACACTTATTGATTTGTTTGCCGAACTTGTTTGACCACAACATTTGATGCAGTGATTCTGTTCACAAAGACTTGACACAAATTTCATGTATGATCCAAAAGGGCAAGGACTCAAAGTCAAAACTCTTTCTTCCCTTTCTAAACTGCATGTTGTAGCCGTGTCCTCATCGATGCCGTGTGCCTCGTTGGAAATATGAACTGAATTGCATTGGCCAGATTTTTTCTTCTGTGGACCAGTAGCGTCTTTTGAATCTGCTTTTCTTTTCAATGTATTTTTCAAATCTTGATCGCTGCAGCGTGAATAAGGGCTGTTTAGAGGGATAAACGGACAGCCTTTAATTCTGTCAGCCAGGACCTTGAGGTAGTCATCTCTAACTTTAGAGACAGCTGTTGCTGACGAAAAACTATCATGCAAATCTATGTCATCCTCAGTTAACTGAATATGTCCAGCAGGTCTTTCATCAGAGTTACTCTCCTTGTGATCGCAAGGTTGGCTTGTTACATCACCGCCTTCAGACGACATGCCGTTTTGTCCATGTCCATATTGATTACCAGCAATGTTGAACATGGCAGTCCTGAGAAATGTTAAGTTGACATCCATTGGGTCCAGGATCTTCAAAATGAAAATGATTAAAAATTTATTTTTAGTACAGACCACGTATCCTAACATACAGAGTAAGCATCCTAACGTACATCCTAACCATGTTTCTAAGACAAAATTACATTTAATATTTATTTTTTTTGTTACAATTTTTTTTTGTTTTGTTTTAAATGCATATTTGTTTCCCTTTCTACCGGGGTCTGGTTGATTAAATTGACCATCACCTCGGTGGGATTAAGCCACTTTTGCCGCAGAGAATTATTTCCACTTGTGTCTAGTGTTGTCAGAAGGCTGGTTGCCAGGCAACGGGTCACAGCCTCCTCTAACTGGCTAAGACGGTCATGTTTCTGGTATGAAATAAAGATTGTTATGACAATAGATCTATTTGCTCAATATTTTTAATTTTAATTTTAACTTCTTATTTATGGTCTAATGTAAAGCAAACAAGATCTTCTTATAAAATTAGTAATTTTGGTGACAACTGTGAGTATGTTTGTTCAGGGGCTCGGTAGTTTGTCTATGTCTGCCAATGAATGAAAATGACCTTAACTCATCAAATAATCTTTCAAGCTCCAATAGTTATGTCACTGTTATATTTAGTTATAAATAATACTTGAGACGATGAGGTCCAAACAGTGACTAATTTTAATATCGACACCCACAATATCCACAATAATAAATATGTTTCACAGGAATATGAAGATAATTTGAATCACATCACACACATTTCAAATCTTTTTATACTTCCATAATATAATCTTCTTTTACGTGAAAATTTTATTAACAAAATCCTGACACATGTCAGCAGTCTCTACCATTAATCTTATTCCTCTTATTCAATCATATGTTATGCACCATTAATCTTATTCCTCTTATCCAATCATATGTTACGTACCATTAATCTTATTCCTCTTATCCAATCATATGTTAAGCACCATTAATCTTATTCCTCTTATCCAATCATATGTTACGCACCATTAATCTTATTCCTCTTATCCAATTATATATTACGAACAATAAAAATTAAGGACATTACTTGTCTCCCATTAGTGGTACACATATGCAGAGGCGTAGCGTGGTGGGGGCAGGGGGGGACAGATGTCCCCGGGCGCCAGCTAGTTAGGGGCGCCAAAATGTGCTTTGATATTATTTTATTGATGAAAATAATGGGTTTGAGAGTGGATTAAAAGAAAAAGGGGCGCTAAAAATGGATCTTGTCCCCGGGCGCCAAACACCCTCACTATGCCACTGCACATATGCATGTGACAAGTTAACCATATGCTTCACTTAAAATAACAAACTGATGGATAAAATATTCTATTTTTGATAAAATAAATTTAAAAATTGAAGCTGTTAGCTTTTCTGGCCTGCTGAAGATTCTTTTTGGAAACACGTCAATTAACTAATTAGTGGCTCATGAAATAATTTTAAAGAATGAATTATTTTTTTTTTTTAAAATCAATAACCTGGATTTGTAAGAGAAATATTACCTACAACACTTAAGGATGTAACAATCCTGTTGTGTGTTTAACTGCATCAAGTTGGGCTTACAATTTACAAGATTAATACTAAAGAAGGAAGAGTGTTACAAGTTAACATTACCATATTAGTTAACATTACCATAGTAATCATTACCACAGTGGATATCATTACCATAATAGTTATCATTACCATAACACTTATCATTACCACAGTTATCATTACCACAGTTATCATTACCATAGTAGTGAACATTTACATAGTAGTTATCATTACCCTAGAAGTTGTGATGCTTTCATACAGAAAATGTCAAATACGTCTTCAAAGCTGAATGATAACTTAAAACATACCGAAGGAATCCATACATTGACACTTATGGAAGGATCCAGAGACTCAACGTAATGCCACCAATGTCTGGGCACATAGAGCGTCTGACCTGGACTCAAGGTCACTACCACAGGATGGGTCAGCTGGTGAGGTAAAAAGCAACAGTCATCACAATCATGTGGATGAATCCATCAAACGTTAAGAAAGGTTTAAAAAATAAGATATGTTTCTCCTGTTGCCATGTCTAACTTTTACTTTTAAAGATAAGTTTAGTTGGTATCAAATAAACGGGACCAGATAAGAATTACAAGATGGACTCCAGTTGAACAATCTCTTATGATTTTCACTCACTTTGAAAAGGCATCAACTGCAATACTTTTCTAAAAATGGATATGGATATCTCCTTTTCTAAAAATGGATTGCAATACCGCCTTTTTAAAAAATGGATTTGAATAACTCCTTTTCTAAAAATGGATATGGATATCTCCTTTTCTAAAAATGGATTTGAATAACTCCTTTTCTAAAAGTGGATATGGATATCTCCTTTTCTAAAATGGATTAGCATTCAATTCCATTTGGACTGTGTTGTAACAAGAAAACATCCAGGGAATTCCTAACATAAGTTTCAAAGAATCTATTATATTTATAATTATACAGTCACCCCCAAAAGAGCATAACTTAAATGCAGTAACAGAAATGAAGCATGTGTAGTAACAGCAGCTTAACTTGTTGTATATCACTGCTCATTAGTGTTGAAAATCCACCCTAATTTTTCGGGGGCCGGTTTAGAAAAAAATTAGAAAAAAAATCAAGTCATTTGCGTTGAATGCGGTGGTTCGGTCGCACAGACAGATTGATTGTGTATGGTTGTGTTTGAGAAGCAACAGTTTACCATGGCAACAGAAGGTTTGAAATCAAAAGACAAAAAGACTAAAACTTATCACTGCTCAATGTTTACAGATGTGGAAAAGAAGGAACAAATTTTAAACCATATAATGTAAAAATTTTCACATGATCTCCAAATAATATAATAATTGTCACATCATCTCCAAATAATGTAATAACTGTCACATCACCTCCAAATAATGTATAACTCTCACATCACCTCCAAAGACTTTCTGTGACTTAATAAAATGGAAAAATCTTGTTTTTGGTTTTGAAATTTGCCCCATAACTGAAACAATTGAATGGGAATGCAACTGACCTTGAACTTTGGATGCAGACTTAGATCAGGTTTTCTGATGTTGACTTGGGTAAAGACACTTGATTCCTCGAAAGGCACACGAGTTGGATATAAGAATGGGCTGTCTTCTGGGGGGAACAAGATCCACAGCTTTCTATATTAACAAATTTCACTATGTTTAAAGATATCCAATGCTCTTTTTCTCTAAGCTGAAAAATCTTGATATCTTTAAATACACACTACTATAGCAGCCTTAATGAAGAAAATAGAACATTTTACCACTTTTGAGTATGAGATGACATTTGCAACATTATATTTGTTTTTTAACTATTTATGTTAATGTGTGTCATTTGTGAACTATACATTTTAAGAATGTCGTAACAAAAAGTAAAAAAGGCGGTAGGGGAAAGGCCGATGTGATCTAGAACCAGCCATGGGTCATGGAATACAGCTGAGTATTGTAATCTATCAGCAACAGCACTGCTTTTCATAAGTTAATGCAAAAAAAAAACAAAAAAAACAACAAACAAAACAATATATAGATCGGCTTTAATTCAAATAAAGAGAAACCAGGACTAAATTCAGAATTACTTCCCTTTGCAGATATAAATCACCTACACTTTTATTTTTACATCAATAATTATATAAATAAAATTTTTAAGCTTTTTATAGTTTTGATGTTCTTAATTTGGATTAAGCAGCACAAATTTACACACAAATTGTAGTAAGATTGTAACTGACTACCGTGATAGTTGATTTCTATAACAGTTTAACAGCTGCATTGACCTAAACACAATTGCCAAAGAATAAAAAAAAGGGATATTTGAAAAGTTGAACATAGCTTATCTACAGTTTAGTCTACAAAATTTTTTGAAAATGTTGCTCAAATAATGTGTTACTTTTAGAATCCATTTGATACACAATTAATTATGCCCCATCGTTGGACATAGGGAGTGTTCAAGAGGTAACTATCAGGGAAGTGAAAAATATCAAACAATTTTACTTGGAAACAAATTAAGGTACAAATGAATTTGATTATTTAAAAATCTATAAGCAGATACCTGCCAAGAATCTGTGTAACCAAATTGAATCCATATGTATCTTGGTGACCTGGAGTGTTTGCCCCTTCACTGCCCAGCCATATAGTACTGTCATATCCATTGAACTCATTGAGGCCAAAGTTCTTCCATTGGACTGTAGAAAATAGTAGATTGGTGTAAACATTTGTTTTTTCAACTTTGTATCATAAAGCAGCATTGCTCTATTAATTAGAAATTAACCCAATGATTTAAAATGGACATATGTTTCATAGATAATACAAAAATTAATTAATTTTTTTTTCAAAGTTCATATACGTCAAAATTAAATGAAGAAACCCAAAAATACTTTATTGATCTCATTAAGTATTGGTAAAAAAGAACTTTTTTTTATAACACATGGTTTTCTCTGTTGATTGTTAAGAAACATTTATTAAATTAATCAATGAATAAAAATTACATAATATTAAAATAATACAATAAATTATCTAGTTTAATATTTTGAAACATCTAAATTAATTAACAAAAAATATGAACATAATTATTTCAAACACATATAAACTCTGTACACTAATTATAAAATATGGTTTAAACAAAATTATTAAGGAACTTGACTTACCATGATCAAAGTAACCTGATTTTTCTGAAAACATATCCTTGATGTACTTGTAGTCAATGTAACAAGAATATTTATCCCTTGCATAGCTAGACAGTGGACAGCTGTTCTTATCTTCATTGAGCCAGGCACTGAACTGCCCAAGGGTGACTTCCTTGTGTACACATTGAGTCTCCATCATTCTGCCTGGAATATACTTGAAAGTTGAATGATCACAAATAATTATATACATTAACCCTGAAAACGTCTGTTGAAAATGGTAAAAACATTACAGTACAACTTCAGTAAATTAAACTCCTCATTATTCTGATAAACATCAATGGACCTTAAAACACACACAACAAAACAAGAACATTTTTTTACAACTTTTGGTACTTGTGAGGTTAATGGTATGCTAATTGGCAGTCTTCACGTGCAAAGGACGAACCAGTTATTTAAAGTTTACAAGAAAACTTAACATACAAAAGATAAGTGTTTAAGCCAAAATTCAACCTTACTCTTAGAGAAACAGTGAATTTTGTAAGCACTTTTAATTGTTTTAACTACTTAGACTCAATGAAGTCCACCAAAATAGTTTCAATAAGTTCTATTTTAGTTAAACAGTATTATTAATCTTTTTATTAAAAATACTTATCTTCACTAAATCTCATTCTCAATTTGGGTTTAGCTAACAGTATCACAACACTTGCAAGGTAAAATTAATTTTAGCATCCTAATTGTCAAGCATATCAATAATGATGAGTAGTTTTGAGAGCTACTGGATTGCCTTACTACATGTCTTTTCAGAAATTCTGCAGGAAAACAACTTCGCCCCTAATACACTTGCAAGCATCTCAAATGTCCAGGAGTGACAAGGCCAAGAGTCTGTAAATGATTCCATAATCAATGGCTTTTCCAGTATGTGTTCCATTGGTAACAAAAATTTAGCCAAGACTGTAAATTAGGTGACCCCTCAATACATTATATGATTTCTGTAATCAAATTAAGAAAAAATGTTTAACAGCAAATTAATATTAATAAAGGTTTTAAAACAATATTAAAAAACTAAGAAATTAGATAGCCTATATTTGGACAGACAGCTGGTATGGAACTAATAATAAAAGTAAAAATATCAAGCTGAAGTTGTATCCAGTCCGCCATCTCATTCTTGATGCTAAATACACTACAAATATTATTCATTAGAGAATACTAAGAATAGACAATAAATGTAATATTTTTTGTATGGGCCTAGGGGCAATCCATAAATGACGTCACACAAATTTTGCCGATTTTTTACCCCCCCCCCCCCACCATATTGTCACAATGTGTCGCAAAAAGTTAGACCCCCCCCCCCTTTAAATATAACGTCACAAATCTCTGCACCCCCTATAAAAATTCCCTGTGTCCACTACTGTCCTTTACAAACCCTTAAGAAATTCACCTCCCATGGATATCAAATTACTGCACCTGTGTCAGAAACATTTCACTAGAACAGTGATTCTTAACCAGGAGTAAAAGTACATCCCCAGCCCTGAGGTGCGGAAGACCAGAAAACTGTTTTGCTGCCATTACTAGCTGTTGCTGCTTTAAAAAAAAAATCAGTTTTTATGCATCTTGATTATCAGCAATAAAAGTAAATGTTTTTGGGATGAATTTTTTTTTCCGCCCATTGCTTGAATTGATAATTTTTTCTCTTGTTTTTACAAAAGTTAATTAAATAAATAAAACTGTGATAAATAAATTATTAAATTATTTTCATATATTAAATTTTATTACAATATAATTTATATGGATTTGGGGGTGGGGTGGGGGTATTTTTAAAGCTGAGTGGGCCTGCAGCACTGAAAAAAATGCCCTACAGCATTTATTAAGATCGTTCCCCCCCCCCCCTGAGTCAACCATTTTCTTTCATTCCACCCCGCTTCCCATGGTAGTACTACTTCTATGACTCCGGTGTCTACATTTAGCGATAAATTCACACCACTGTCATTGAAACTACATACCGATTCTCCTCCCCACTGGCGTCCTGTAACTTGATCAGTGGCCATTTTTCAGACCTTACATACCTGTACTGATTCTCTCAGTGACAGGAGTTTTAAAGTATAATAGTTATAAAAGAATAATTTTAAAAATGTCTGTAATTTAGGGATTTTAAGTGCAATTCTTTAACATAATATATGCTTTTCATGTGATGCCACATTGCTTAAGCCCCCCCCCCCCACACGTCACACATCGTCACAAAAATCGGACCCCCCGCCCCCCTAGATGCATGACCTCCTTTTTGGATGGCCCCATAGAGTAGTCTAGTATAGGGGCCTTTAAATACTTTAATTTTTATGGTAAAAATTTCAAATGAGCAACAAATATCATGGCACATCAGAAACAGTTTGTTTAAAAATCCTAATTAGACTTATTTAATTAAATGTTTAAATTTAGATATGAATGTTAAAATCAATGCCATGCACATTGATGATTGAGATTACATTTACACAGCCCAGAGTGCAGGTCTTCCACCATTTGAAGTTAACAGCATCATTCATTAAATTAGATGTCATTAAATTTCATTACCACCAAAAAAAGAACATTTCATTTTATCTCAAAACATCTTAATTAGAAAATCAGGCTGGATGGAAAAAATCAATGAGCTCTTTTAAAAATTCCGGCCAGGCTTGGCAATTGAAATTTTTTTTTCAATTTCAAAGTCCTAACCTAAGCACACAAAAAAGGCCAACATTTTTTAAAACTATATTATATGCTATATAAATTTATACAAAGAAATAGAAAGAAAGAAACAAGCCTTGGCCTTAGCCTTATGGGAAACTAAATGTAAAAATAAGTAGGCCTAACTAATAGTTAATACCAGTGTTCATCACTCATCATGTGAAAATAAAATTTATAATTTTAAAAAAATACTTAATTTAATTGTTTAAACTTAACATTGCCTCACAAATCATGTCAAATGTCACCTGTGGACTGTGGAACTGCTAGAAGAATTCACATAAACTTTGTCTGCAATACTCAGTATAATACTGGTCTGTTGTAAAATAAAAAGTAAAGTTCTTTATCATACTGGCTGAAGCAATGAAAGTAATTGAATTCATATCCTCCTTTCTTAATGTTTTTATGGATACGATAATAAAATATTAGTATTGTAATACTACTACTGCTAATAGACTAATTAATAGTGTACCGGTAATCACAAAGTGCTAAACTTTCACAATGCCAGCCCTTAAAATGTGTCTCCAACTGTTGGAAATCTACATGTTATTTGTACTAGAGATTCTTTCAGCTTCGCTTCTGCACTGCCAACTGCGTCATCATCTGTAATCTGTGACTGTGTTAATTAATAATTATAAGATTTCGTTTTGGCAGTTTTTGCTGAACAAGTCACTTCGTTGACCTCGGTATTTATTTATGTATAATGTATAACTTTTTAACCAAAATTTCTAAGTTCTAAGGCTTAGCTTTTAAAATACACACCTCCTTCTACTCTAAAGAATTTATTGAAGAAAAGAATTAAATTTTATAATTAAAAGGAACCACAACAATAAACTAAATTAAAAGTATATCAGGCCTAGACTACTATTACTAATTACTTGTTTATAAAAAGGCTATTAGTATTAGGATTATATGGCTATTGGGACCTGGCGTGGGTCCGTAAATATTAAGCGACTATTAGCACCCGAGTACCAGAAGGAAAGGATGGGCTTAAAAAACGATTTGAAATATTATTTTTTGGATTTTAAGACAAAATGAGATATCAAATGAAAGATAATTGAATGGAATATATGTTTGTAAACTTACTTCTTCAGTTCAGCTAAAAAAAACTACCACAAATGACGTCCGAATAGCATTTGCTTTGTTAAATTTCTTGGTAGCGGTAGTTTTTTTTCCATCGAATTTTCTTTTTTAGCCACGTTCGTAGATCAAGGTTTTAATCTATTAATAAAAGATACATTTACTTTTATTATAATTTTTAATAAGAAATAACATTAATTTAATTATATGTAAAGCTGTATTGTTTAAGTTATAAGATTTAATTAGCCTACATAGTACTTAATGGATTAATTAGTATTAAGTATTCTTCTAATTATGACAATTTCATAATGAATTAAATTTAACTATTCCTCTAAAGTCTAAAGAGAGCGTGGCTTAATCAGGAAAACCACCAATTTTAAATTTTAGCCCTTTCCCCGGCACTGGGAGTCATCCGGACAGTGACTGTTTTCCCTGATATCTCGAATCTCCTTTCAATAATCTTTCTCAAACTTTACCTAATCTACAAGCTAGTTGGAATGAACATCTTAGAGGATGCATTTGCAATGGCATAAAGCATGAGAGACATTTTTGGAGGGCGTCTTTTTTTTTTACCATACCTGGCTACTGGGTGTAACACACTGTACATAAATTAAATTTAATAGAAATAGAACAGACCCCTTCTTAACTGGCTTGTGAACATTTTTATTTTGTTGTTTGAGTTTATGTACCGCGTACCAGTAACTGTACTCCATAAAATAAATTAGGGGCCAGTGTGGAGTAGGCAGCCAATAAAAGCTTTCATTTAGGTCACACCATTCCTTTGCCATTTGTCTTCTTTAACTTTCTCGCCCTACCCGCTGGTGCAGTACTATCCTGGTGCAGTACTATCGTTTCTATCATTTTTTCATAACAAAATGTACAGAAGAAATGATTGAGTGTGAGAAACTATGTGATCTGTGAAGAGAGTTTTGTTTCAAGGCAACTAAGTCATGCCCCATTCTAAATAAAATACCGATAATATAGAGAGTCATTTACTGTGTTATAAGACTAAGGGTGTAAGCGTAAGTTTTAGATGACTTATAGTTATACTACTCATAAGTGTAGTTTTGATACCCTCTATCTTCTCTAAAATAACTTAGTTGGAACTTTCAAATCTCTTGCTCACACAACCAGTTATACACATAACTATAACAAATACAATTTCTTTAGGGTTGTCACAAGAATGTACATACAAATTTATTTTTTTTAAAATGAACCGAAGCAGAATTTAACAAAATACCGTATTAAAAAGGTGACCAAAAGTCCATCAAAGGTGAAAACAAAATATTTTCAGCAAGGCATATTCACAAAAACTAAATATTCACTACAGACTTTAAACTTTAAAAAAAAAAAACAACAAAGTAAGACATCTTAACAAATTTTACACAATATTGCAGCAAATGTTAAATGTTTTTAATAATAAATTAACAGACGTAAGTTTATTAAACAAAAATCTGTTCAAGAAATATAATAACAATAGATATTTACACACCAAAAATTGACAATTTCCAGCACATTAAAAAACATTCATATATTTATAAAAGTAGTAGAAAATCTTTCGGAACCATGCAAACAATAACTATCCCATCAAGGCATTTTCACAATAATCTGTACTTAAGACATTTCAAGAAAAGGAAACAGTGATGCAATATTTAGTCTCAATCATGTATTATTTACTACCAGTAACAAGCAACAAAAATGTTTAAGAACTATCAGAAATCCCAACACTCTTTGCAAAACCAAGTTGACATTTTTTATTTTGCACTCATGCCAACACAAGCAAAATGAAACCGAAAATGACAACGTTCACAACCGACCAATCAAACACTTGACACGCTGCACAAGGAAACACAGGATTAGCCTTACTTTAACTCTAACAATGAGTGGTGCACATATGACTAAGCTTCATCAGTAATAGATGACTTGCCAATATTTAAATCAACTGCATCATCAAGAATGGTGTCACAAAAATCAGTGAAAGGTTTTACATTACTTTTGCCTATTGGAATAGAGAGAGATCCGTGTGTGTTCAACAACTACAGCTGAAAGAATAATTGACATAATAATTGAAATAACTGACCATCAAGGCTCAACTTGGAGAATGGTTGGGCCAACTATCTTTTGCTTTTACAGGTAAAATTTTGTTTGGCTTTAGGGCTCCCCTTTGGACGAACTTTGTCAAAATTTAACACTTCCAAATCTACTAGTTTCAGTTAAAAGAACTGACTGAACCTCTGCATTATTTATTTTATCTTCAGCCAGTTTCCTCATGTGACAAACGAATATCATTTACATGCACACCTAAACAAAATCAACAACTTCACTTTGATTGCTTTGGACTAAACTTGCTCTTCTTCAACTAAATTTCCTGGGCTTCTCCAGACACTCATAGTAGTTTCAAGAAAAGATATTTTCTCTATAAAATCCTGTTCTCCTTGAATCGCCAAAAAATTAGCCAAGCCCATGCAAATTCTTTTAGCATGATTAAACCGACCCTCTTGAGTCTTAAAATTATTGTTTCTAGTAGATACAATTTGAGCAGCTACTGAACCACTAGAAGCAGAAGCAACCAATCTATGAACACTACGTTTGCTAAAATGGCATGGAATTAACTCTGAACAAATTTCTGGAAGCTGTAAATGTCTTCGAACTGAAAAAATATGTCTGCAAGGTAATGCCATCTTTTTAGCAAATGAACAATTACAGTGAACTGATGTTGAGCTAAAAATACGTTCGTTGTAAGCTACTGAAAAAAGTTCTGCCCCTCCAGGGACAACAGAGTAAGAAACAGACTGTGACAATTTGAGCTGATTGAGTAACTGAGCAGCAGCAAAAGAAGTAGCAACACTTTCAAAATTATTTAAACTTCCATCATGGTCAGATGACGTACACTGAGCCCTGTTTGAAGCAAGTAATCTCAAACGATCGCATACTGTAATTTTGCAGTTGTCAAAAGACATAAGGTTACGAAGTGCAAATGAAAAAGAAAGATAACGAGTCAAACACTTTTTTATTTTGGAATGATAAGACACCAAGTGATTTGTTGTTGTTGCATGGAGTCTTAAAACATCAGCATTGTATGATGCTGCCCATAAATGGGCCTTACTCCACCAGTTCGACTCAAAATACTCCAAAGCTACATCAGGAAGAATATCTTTCATGTCTTGGATCAACTTTAAAAATTCATCACAAGATTCAGTATAAACTTGAGACATAAATCCTTTAAGAATCGACTGAACCTGCTTACGACCTACATGTTTCAAAAGAAACCTGTGCACAGCCTGGTTAATGTGACAATGACATAGATTGACAGGTACATTTGGAAACAGATCACTTATAGCAGAGATTTCAGCCAGGTCTTTGTCAACCACAAAGCACTTGAAAAGACTGGCATCACATTTCTTCAAAGTCATAAGAAGCTGCAGACAAAAAGAAATAGATTCCTTATCGTCATTTTTTACAAAACCATGAAGAACAGGAATGACCTTCCCTTCTCCATCAATAACCATTACAGTCAAAAGTGGATATAAATATTTATTGGTTTCATATGTGAAATCCATTAATAAAACCTCTGGATATTGGGCAATAATACTAATCATATCACAGGTCATGTATGATAAATACTTAAATTCCCCACTTTCTGTTAGTTCATAGGACACACTTCCACCGGCTTGTGATATAGAATGAAGTATAGACTGAGTTTCAGTTGCATCAGAAGATGATTTATTTATTCTGGACTTAATATTGTAAATATCCCTGGGAAGCAAATCCACATCAAGCTGTTGTTCAAGCACTTGCCGGGCCTCAGATGCCTGAATTGTGGTGCAGGACATCAACAGATGCGTAGCCTCATTTAGTTCAACCTTGCGGTTTTCCGGATACAAGCGGTACATCTGAAAAAAAAAAACACACAAGAGTTACTTTGCAATAATAATGTTGTATTTTTGTCTATTCTGCTATGAAGTATTTTTTTTTTTTTAAAAAAAGCCCAGCAAACATAAGTTAACTTCACTGTGGGGATAAATGTTTAGGTTTATTATATTTCACAATCAAGATAGAAAACTCTATTTGGACTATTTAGAAATACAAAGACAAATGGGTGATTAACCTATTCAATCCTGTTACGGCCACTCAACCCTTTGTTTACACGTGGGTAAATAGAAAGCGGAAATCTCGCCATTTATCTGACAATGACAATCCTGCTAGAAATGAGACCAAGGGAAATCACTCTCTTTTAAAAATATGTTCATTCCTTGGGTGAGGAGTATTCTTTTTTATTTTAGTATTTAGTAGTCAAGTACTTCGTCGAAAATTGACTTTTACGAAGTTATTCTAGAAAAGCATTAGGAAATAATTTTACACAACACATAAGGCAACCATTTATGAATGCAAACCAATTTATTCAATATAATTATACTGTTAATTAGATTTTTCTGCAAAACCTTTCTATGGTAAGAGTGGAGTTTCTCCCCTTCAACTAAAGTTTCCAATGATAAATTTCTGAGCACTCTAGATTGAATGGTGTAATAAATGGTACAAAACATTCTTTTAAAATCCATCCCTCTGTATAGTGAGTATATGTAGGTGAAAACAACCTGCCATAAGAATATGCTATTCACTATGTAAATATTTTTCGGTGTCAACTCCTAAGTCTACTTGGATTAATTAATTTGTCATGTTCTTTCACACGATGAATACGATGTACTATTCTTAATCTCTGAATAAACTCAAGTCCGTTTCATAATAATTATAACTTTAGCAACTAAACTATACACATAAACACATGAATGTAGCGCAGCTCGCTATCAGACAAAACATACGCATCCTACCTCCACAAAGTTCCACCCAAGACTGCCGCAATACTGACTAGACAATACTCACGAATCAGCATAAAAATATGTCATAGAGACAAGCGCGGGAATAGCGTTCTCTAACTTATAAGAGTCAAGCGCGGGAAAAGCGTTCAATAACTAATGAACTCCCATACTTGACATTCGGAGCATATGTACTCACTTCTTTTGATACTTCATGGCCAGTGTGTTCCTGCATTGAAATGGTAATTTCAAGCCTAGATGGATTTCTCTGGGCAACAAGCTTTATCTTTGCCTGGCATCCCAATTTGAAAGAACTGAAAGAGAAAAAATAAATAAATTCTCAACGCATTGCCAAAAGTGGTAAGAATTATTGACTTGGAGAAAGAATTATACATGACAAGACCAATTAAATTTAAAGCTAACCGTACTGTTAAACTTACGCTTGTGATTTTCTAGGTACTTCGGTAAAGCAAGGGGCACTACTAAAAAATTTGTATCTGAAATGGACGTCGTCGCAATGAAATCCGAATTTTAATTTTCTTTGAGTTTAATTTTTATAATAATTTTTATAATACAGGAGTAATTTTGGTCCACAAATAAGGTCTGAATCCGCCCATTGACATTAGGAGAAATGTTCACCTACATTCCCATTGAGGTTTTTTTGGTTCTTTATATCAACTTTAAGTGAGGAAAACCATATGTCAATATAAAGCATCTTTCAGCATAAAAATTTTATCAAAATATTAAAATTACATCTTTCATGCTAATTGTATGTCAGCACAACATATTGAGGTATATGTGTGCAAACTTTCATTGCACTAGCTCATGAAGCATTTTGACAATTCTCCTCTATATATACCTCATTATGCGAAGGTTGCACATGCCATTTTGGATTAGTGACCACGCTTCTTTTAAATGGCGGAAGACAACGATACTTAGCTTAGGAAATATTCAATTATTACCACTATATACATCAAAATATTTGATAACTTGTGTTTCAGAATGCATTTTGAAGACATTTAAACTGAAATATTTTAATTTGAGCTTGAAAAACCTGGTAGTATCCATATTTTAAATGACCAGAATTTTCTGTGTGCAAAACCACATGGGCAACCATCACAGCCACATGCATAATGGCTATAACCTATTACTGCTTCAGAGTTTCATTCATAAGCGTTTGTCGGGTGCAAAACTATGAAACCATTGGTCAGGGAAAGTTTTAAGTACCGGGTAATGTTAGTCATGTGCCAAAGTTGAAAGTTCAAAATAAGCAGTCCCCAGCAGTATTTTATTAATGTTAATGTGGGGATGCCCTGCCTTATTATACAGACCAGGGGTCTCATACTCAAATCATCCGGGGGCCGGAGGAGGTAGAGTCTGAATGAGACTGGGCCGCATCACGTATTCCTCAAGTCAATGAAGTACAACAGTTACAATCTGCTGAACCTTTACTAATAACAATTAATAAAAACATTAAGGGTTCTCAAGAACTAGGCTTCACTTTTTCTTACACAGCTGCGAAACATTTGGTTTGAGTGAGGAAGAAACTGAGGCAACTGATGCCTAAATAAAAATCATCATTTTTATTTTGACAATTTTTTTTCGTCGTGCAGTTGGCATCGGATTTGTTATCAAGTGGCACTTATTCATGTGCGACAAGTCGACAAAACCGGAGACACTGGCCCAAGGACCTCAAGGGTAAAATATTACAAAAACCAATGTGAAATGAGGCAGATAGGGAGGCTGGTTGCATGTTGGTGGAGAGACAAACGTGCCATCTCCATGATTTCAACCAACGCGTCGCCTACACTAGGCACTGCATCAAGGCGTACAAAAGATGGCCCTATTGATAAACAGATCCACCACTCTCTACTGATCTACAATGCTTATATGGGTGGGGTGGACAGACATGATCAGCTAAGATCGTATTATCCTATTGGCAGAAAAAGCCACAAGTGGTGGAGATGTTGTTTGTGGTTTAGACGGCAGCGCTGAATGCGTATATTTTATACAAAAATATGCCACATCCCCCGATATCAAAGCCAGTGTCGCATTTGAATTTCCATTTGGATATTGCTCGCAGCCTCATGAAGGGTTCTTCAAGGAAAAGAAGACAGGCGGAGGTCCCAGCTGTTGGTGGATTGGCTGTTCCTGGAACTTCTTTTTAGCATCACAGAATTCGACCTCCAGGGCGCAAAAAACAATGTTTTCAGTGTCGGCAGAAAAACGTACACACTGAATCGAATAAAAGACCTGAAACTGTTTTTGGGTGTGTGTTGTGTAACACACACCTTTGTGATGAGCTCTGTTTTGCTCAGTTCCATGCTTAATTAGACTAAGGTATTTTTTATCGAAAAATGTACAGAAATTGTCCTGTCAAACGGATATTTTTGCATATTTTCAATCATTTTAATTTTTTTTTTGTATGTACATTTTTAGTACACCCATACATATTTGGTACCATCTGATAGATTATTCATTTCTCTACATAATGAAATTTTGTTGACATCGATTGGATTTTAAATTAGCAAGATGTGTTTATTTTTGTAAAAGAACTCAATTTGTAATTTAGAGTTATTCCCCTTACGTTGGGATGATATGAATGTTTTGTGGTCAAGCCAATGGGAAGTTAATGGTTAAAATTATTTTTTAATACATAAAAATAAAAGTCATATAAAATTATTATTATACTGCGGAATTGTATCACAGGATGGGTCCATAGTCTAAGTCTATGTGAATATTGTGGACATCATTGTGAATGTGAGCCATGTCAAAAAAGGACAAAGTTGTACTTTTAAAATTCATAGCTCAGAAACTACGGTACGGTAAGCCTTCGGTACTAAAGATAGAAAGTTGATTTTGACTTCATTATTTTATTTAAAATAAAATTTATATCATACAACTTTGATAATTTTTTTCATTATCAATCAAAAAGTACCTAGATTTTCTTTTTCCTGTTGAAGTTGGTGTCTTCGAATGGCGTTTTACACCTTGTTTACAGCACAGCACAACGTATTCATATTTAAGGTGTTTCAAATTGGGATCTTTGATATTCTCTGACGATCTTTTAGTGAAGCACACATTGTGTTCTTTACAAAAAAATTTGAAATCATCTTCAAAAGATGCATAGCTATCAAACACGCGACCAACCTCCATTTTCGATTAGTAAGCCTAGTTCGGACCAGGTTTTTTCGAATACTAAGACTATTTGGTCTGAATAGCAATTTATTTCTAAAGAGACCCAGGTCCTAATAGCCACTTCAAAATAAAAATCTTGTTGTTTAGAAGTTAGAAAAAATAATTTCCGGTTTCGATTTTTTTTTACATCCACTGTATTTGTTGTCAAATGTAGCACATGTTCACATGATTCTATCCTTATTTACTTATAGCACAGAATATTTTATCAATTAGTATCGAACTGGGTGCTTTTTCGAAATATAAAAATGGTACAATCTTTTTATTTCTTAATGTAAATTATTGAGTTAAGCATTTTAGTATTAGCAGCTAATCGTACTTCAATAATTAGTTATTATTACATTATAATTATAGTTAAATTAATTTATAATTAGGCTAAAACTTCAAGCTTATTATTACTTAATTAATAATGTCATGTCTATGTTCTCCTTAACTTGTTAATTTTTTTTTCCGCCCTCTCCTTTTTCAACCTTTATTCTATATTGTCATGTCTTAGTCATTGACTTGCTTTTCCTTTCTTCCATCCCATGCCGTAATAAAATAATTGTAGTGTCTATGACTATGTCAATGTCTATGAGTCTATGATGTGATATATCATATTCATATGACATATGTCTAGTCTATAGTATATTGATTAGTCTATTGTCAAGTATTGTCACTATTCAAGACTTTACTATTATTTATTATTTAATTACTTCTATACTATTGACAATATTGATATTGCTAGACTATATTATCAATTATTATTAGAGGTAGAGGATCTTACCTACTAAGTAATGGACATGGTATAAGTATAGAGTCGAAGTATAAGTCTATCACATTCCTCTTTCTGTCATTTGGGATACTAAATTTCAGCTAAGTGTTGATTGTTGTTGAAGAAGGCTTCTTGTCGTCCGACGGGTTCCTTGCTTTGTTACGTCCTGTTTTTTCCCATATATACATTGTTTCAAATATTTCCTATTAAAATAAAGAAAGTAGTTAATGAAATAACTAAAAATGGCTATTATTTTCTTGGGTCTCTTTGAACAACCAAATGATTATGATCCACTGACTTGTTAATGTGATTTCAAATATAACAATTTAATTAGAAATATATATTAAAATGATTGATTGCAGTCAAATTGAATCCTAGAGTCTAGGTATTTTTTTTATTTAACTGCTCTCTTTAGTTAAGTTATTCATGAGAAATATCATTTTCTTTTGTCATAGTTAAGACGACAGGCTCGATTGAGAAGAGAGTATATCTACAGAAAAACAATAGAGGAACGTGAGAAGACCATCCAAGAAAAGAAGCAAAAACTTAAGAATGCCATTGAAGGTTGGTGGGCTTAACTATGAATTTAAGAAAAACAACATTTTTTTAAAAGTTACTATGATGTCCATGATGTATTGTTTCCCCTACCATACATTACAAGGTATATAGACCATTCTAAAGATGCCCCTCTTCAATTCATTTCAGAAAACAGGCCGATTCCTACAGACCTCAAAGCTGATGCCATTTCTTTGCAGAAAACATTAACATGGGAAGATGAAGGAGCTGATGGTAATATGATAGCTTGTTATTCTGTTTTCATTGTAGCCAAGTATAACCTATATAGTTTCCTACAACCAAAATAGCAAAGATCAACCTATATGGCCACATAAAAGCTATATAATGGCATAAAACCTGTATAGCGACGTACAACTAAGCACCACCATAAAAATTTTTTATGTGCATTCTTAGGGACTGCAACAAATCCTCGAGATATTTCAATGATATTCTTAAATAAGACATTTATTTAAAACTCAATTCTGTCAAGGTCTGACCACAAGTGTAGATGATGAATACAGGTGGGCTGGAGTGGAAGACCCCAAGATTATGATCACAACTGCCAGAGATCCTAGTTCAAAGCTAAAACAGTTTGCCAAGGTAAATAATAATAATAAAGTTCATTTCAAAAACACGCTTCATCCCCAAAGGCTCGAAGCGCGGTACAAAGTCAACAAAAAACAAATCTATGATTTACCACATTTAAAACAAACGCAACACTACAAAAACTAATTACAAGCATACAATGTCAAAGTCTTTCTAGCCATTTCAACCATAAGCAACACAGCCATTATGCATTAACTGGAAAATAAGGTAGACAATCATCCCAGAAGGTGTTTGCGAAATAGATGTGTCTTTAGATTGGTTTTAAAGGACTCCAGTGTCTGGTTATTTCTGAGATCGACAGGAAGGGCGTTCCAAATTGTTGGACCAGCAAGTCCGTAAGTCTCAAGGCAAACACGTGGTGTCGAGAGTTTGCCACTAGCAGATGAGCGGAGCTCTCTAATGGGTACATAAGGCGTCAGCAGCTCTTTCAGATAGGACGGCGCCAGGTCATGTAAGCAGCGGTAGCACAAAGTTGAGATTTTGTACTCTATGCGAGCACGCACAGGCAGCCAGTGCAACTCTCTCAGAAGTGTTTTTGCATGGTCGAACTTGTGCTTGCGGAGAACAATGCGAGCCGCATTATTCTGTGCTATTTGAATTTTATCCAGGAGCGTTGCTGGAGCGTTTAAGACCCACCATGAGAGAATTGCAATAGTCCATGCGTGATAGCACAAATGCAGACATCAGCCTCTTTGTTGCATCAATTGTTAGGAAGGACCTGATGTGACTAATCCTGCGCAGCTCCAGAAAAATTGCCTTGCATAGCATGTTAATATGACTTTCAAAAGTTAGTCTTCTATCTAGGTAGACACCCTGGTACCGCACTGTTTGAGCTAACTCAATACGCACACCTGAGAGAGTAATGGATGTCGTGTTATGTGCAGATTTTTGCTTCATAACGGTCGCGATGGGGAGCAGCTCAGTCTTATCATCATTCAATTTGAGCTTGTTTATGGTCATCCACTGCTTAACCGACTCCATTGTCTTCTGTGTCATACTGACCAGCTGAGGGAACTGAGAAGGGATCACGGATTGATGAAGTTGTGTATCGTCCGCGAACATGTGATACAACATTTCAAACTGCCTGATCTCTGCACCCAGGGGCTGAATGTACATCGTGAAAAGCACCGGGCCTAGGACCGAGCCCTGGGGTACTCCAAATTCGATATTAGATTTCTCCGAGGTCAAACCCTTTGAAATAACTGACTGCACCCGATTAGTCAGATACGATCGGAACCAACACAGGACGGTATCAGTGAGACCGAACGTTTGTTGCAGACGCAGGAGCTTTAAATATTGCTTTAAAAAAAAAAAAGGAAACATCTCCTGGTGTTTTCTTAAAGTAGTGGATCGGTCTTCAAACCCGAGTTGAGCAACTTAATTAAGGTAGATGTCTGATGACACATTCCCTTTATTCTTAGGTTCTCACAAACCACTGTTTAAGTCAGTATGCTAATGAAATCTCAAGGTCAACATTGTGATGCTTAGTGAAGAAAAATGTTGGTTATCATTAAACAAGACATTAAGGACATCAAGTTTTTTTTGTTCATGAAGCCTTCAGATTTTTCGGAAGCCTTTTGTACATTTTTTTTAAGCACTCAACAAGCAACTCAATCATTACAGCAGGAGCTGCTCACATTTATGGATGTATTATTCTAATAACTGATTGCAACAATTTAATTTTAATGACTAAATGTATGACTTTTGTAACAAAATCAGCACATCTTGCACTGACACGTAGCTGCTGGATGGGAATGATGATGATGGACCAACCATGTTTTCTTGTTGGTCTCCTTGTGATTGATGCCATTCTGATCAGATATCTCTCTTACTTTCAGGAAATGAAGCTCATTTTCCCCAACTCCCAGCGTATCAACAGAGGTAACTACAGGATAGAGCAGCTGATGGATGCCTGCAGGGCCAATGACATAACTGATGTCATCATGGTCCAGGAGCACAGGGGTGTACCAGGTAAAAAATTGAATCTAGGACTGAGGGCCAATGACATAACTGATGTCATCATGGTCCAGGAGCACAAGGGTGTACCAGGTAAAAAATTGAATCTTAGGACTGAGGGCCAATGACATAACTGATGTCATCATGGTCCAGGAGCACAAGGGTGTACCAGGTAAAAAATTGAATCTAGGACTGAGGGCCTATGACTGAATCGGATTGTTTGGTGGCCTTCCCATAACTCTGAATCGGATTGTTTGGTGGCCTTCCCGTAACTCTATACTGGATTGTTTGGTGGCCTTCCCATAACTCTGTATTGGATTGTTTGGTGGCCTTCCCATAACTCTGTATTGGATTGTTTGGTGGCCTTCCCATAACTCTGTATTGGATTGTTTGGTGGCCTTCCCATAACTCTGTATTGGATTGTTTCTTCACAGATGGCTTGGTGGTGTGTCACCTCCCCTTTGGTCCCACAGCATTTTTCAATTTGTCCAACGTGGTCATGCGCCATGACATCCCTGATGTCGGTACGATGTCTGAGGCTTATCCTCACCTCATATTTAAGGACTTGAATTCAAAACTCGGCAAACGTGTGAGGGATGTCCTAAAATACCTATTTCCAGTTCCAAAAGAAGATTCCAGGAGAATAATGACATTCTCAAATGAGGATGATTATATATCATTTAGGTATGTTTTTTTTCTTCATCATTCTATATACATGCAATTTTTAATGCAAAGACATTGTATAAAGCAATTATCCTCTGCACTGATCAAGAGACCGCCAGGAATGTTGAGACCTGAAGTAGAGAGTATACCATAGTATTTTAATGTCCCATTGTATTACAAATCCCTAGTTGGTTCCCATCTGAGTTGATTCCCATGACTGATCCATTTAATACTTTATTCTCAGAAAAAGTAATGCCAACAACACTTTTATAAAACACTTCTTTGCTTATGATGTTTCCACAAACCAAGTTACACACAATGAAATCCTTATTTCTGGTACAAAATGGTGGACACCATCACTTGATTTCACAACAGAGGAGAACCTCTTGAGCATTCCAAGGGACGGCAGCCCTGTGAGAACTATCAACCCAATATTCTTCTGACAATTACCCTTTATTCCCTACGTTTTTATCACGATTCTCCCCTCTACTAATCACAAATTGACATAAAACGACCGCTGACGGCCACAACTCACGATCTAAAAACGTTCACACTAAACCCAGTGATTCCCACACCTTGACACCTGGCCAACCCATGTTTCCCCTCTTTGTCTCCAACAGGCACCATGTTTACAAGTATGAGGACAGGGAGTTGCTGCTGAAAGAGGTTGGGCCCAGATTTGAAATGAAAGGTTAGTGTCAAAGCCATGGCCAATACCGGTATTGGTACTAAAACTCCTGCAGCATGTGACAGGCCTTTCTATGAAACAGGGCGATGACAGACTTTATTTTTCATGATAGTGCAGGGTTTCCTTTTATAAGATTCACTACAGGCAGATGATAGTCTTTTTGTTTCAAATGCCATTCAGTTATCAGTAACACTGGGTTCCTTATTTAAGAGTCATGTTTCCCGAACCAAACATTTTAATTGTAGCAGATATAAACACTTGAATTTCCTTATTATTTTTTATGCATGCATAATATAAAAAAAAGCTTAGCAACCACAGACAAGTATGAACACTGTGTTATATAGTCTACTTTAACTGGCCACTGCTTACTAAGGTAAAAACAAATGTTTGACATAACAAAGATTGTCATGAAAATATATATCTCTGTGTGCCTTGCCTCCACAGTGTACAAGATCGTGCGAGGCACAGTCGACAAGCTGAGCACAGCTGACACAGAATGGGTGCACAGGCCGTACATGAACACAAGCCGCAAGAGAAAGTTTCTGTCTGAAGAGTTGTAATCAGAGGGTCTGCTGTTTTACTGTACATATGTGGCAATGTAGTTGGGTCGGGGGGGGGGGGAAGATGATATTGTTCCGTCACTTTATACAATGAAAATAACATAATGGTTCTAAATTCATCCATTAATAAAAAATAGTTTCAAGATTAAAATTATAATGATTTTTGTCTTTTCTTACCCCCCCTCATTGAATATTCTAAGGATAGACTTTTGCCTTGTCACTGAATATTCTAAGAATAGACTTTTGCCTTGTCTTGCCCCCCTCATTGAATATTCTAAGAATAGATTCCTTATCTGCCCGCTGGACTTGTACATGATAGTAAAACTACCCCTAAAACAAAAAGTATTTCTTATCCTTTATAAGCATTTTTTATTATTTTATATTTATATTCTAATGTCCCACCCTCTTTTACACCGCAAATTTAGTTCACCAACTGTTTCATAAAAACTAAAGAGAATAAAACACACTTGCGATATTTTTTTAAGGAGTCTCATTTAGCGCAGTTATTTGAAATTTAATTCATGAAATGGGTGGCAGCATGTTCCCCTTGAAAAACGGGAAAAACCGATTGTTGGGTCTGAAAATTTTAATGTGTTGTCATCGGCAACGAGTCTATGTGCCAAGTTTCAGCTAGATGTTGGTCAGGAAGTGGGTCAGTTAGTCATCCAAAGATTAAGATTTTGCCCTAAGCACACAAAGGCAAAGTTGATATGAAGGATTTAAAAATAAATAACAATTATAACAAAGTACATTTACAAATGGTAAATAATGAATTGTTATTTTGCTTGTCATCTTCATTATGTTTTTAAAACTAAAATTATAATGATAGGGGCATTATATAAATTTCAAAAGACAGGTAATGCATTACGTAAGCAGATCTCATACTGTTTTCAAACATTACTATTTTTCAAAAAAATAATTCAAAACAAGATTAGGTAGATTATAGAGATGTTAAGAAATAATACTTCAGGTAAGCAACTTGTAGGTTTTTGCTTAACTACCACTGGAAGTTGTGCCTTGTGATTGCCTGTCTACTCTGGCCCCAAACAGGCTGTTTACACTTGTGAGAGGATTAAGAAAAAGTGTGTGTGTAAGATTTGGGGGGGGGGGGGGAGTTTGTGCAGCTTTGCTCAACAACATATGATCACGGCGATTCGTGTGACATCTTGAAAACCTGACAAATCCTGATGCCTCAAAAAGTGGCAGTTATAGTGGATTAGGCATGCGGCAGTTATAGTGGATTAGACATGTGGCGTTATAGTGGATTAGGCATGTGGCAGTTATAGTGGATTAGGCATGTG